AGTCGAAGAAGCAAGTCAACTGATCATGAACAACGCTGCGTTTAACGGGTATACGCCATCGGGGTTCAACCGTCGACTTCCAACCGTCGACGAAAACCGTAGAGATGATGCGAGAACAAAAACTGCACCGCACTCGTTAGTCCGTAGGGCTAATGCTTTCTTCTATCGAGCAATTTTGAGTGAGTAAACAATTGATATTTATATGATAATGAGTGTTGTTATTGAATATTTCTCGCAGAAGATGTATCGAGTGCCGTAGACGGTCTGGGAAATGCGAGTGGTGGTCGAGCATCATCTAGTGGTATCGTGATATCAAACCTACCATTTCTACACATTCCGGTCAAAGGCGATGATTTTATTGCTGTTCGAATTGCAGTCGTCCGTAGTAAGTCGTTCGATTTATTTATTCACTTGTTCACTCATGTAGTAACATAAATGTGTTAGTGAAGTGTAGAAAATATAAAAACAGATGATATTATAATCAGTTCGCAGCAAACTTATTCACAGTCAGTGGATATCAACGAGGCTTTTGGACGGTTACTGTGTGTTTTCCAAAGTGGATGATTGATAGTTACTGCCTGTCTGGTCTTCCGTTTTATGGGGACATTTGTGCTACATTTTTGGTCTAATTGTAAGATAGTGATTGTACTTATGATTATTTATTGTAAGGTGATGTAACTTTAATGATTGAGAGATGCAAACGTTGACTTGCATTAGTAGCAAAATAATGAAAGTGAATACATAGAAAAGAGATGAGTGAATAAAAGGCAAGGAAGCGTTTCAGATGTACAATTGTATTGTGTGCAGATAGAAGATAACGGCCCGTTGATAATTGACATGATGGCTCGTATAACAAAATTGAGAAGAAGTGACGGTTTGAGACGGGGAAAAATGCACTTCGAGCAAGGAGAGGTTGTTCTGGCTAGGTAAGTTAAAGGATATTCATCCCTTAATTCTCATCGAAGACATCCACTCGGACCGAATGCTTCGTGTTCGAGGAATGCAAGTAGCGCATTTGAAGTGATCAATCATCACAAGAACGGTTGTCGATGAATGAGCAATGCTAGGACTTAGTTGTACTCTGACATTATACAACCAATTGGTCAAACTTCGCAAAGCATCACTCCGAATTCATACGAGGTTTAGAATTTAGGTGTGAATGCAGGACAAAGCATGCTCCAATCGATACTTTAGCGGGATCGGAAAATAGTCAGTCGACTTGATGATCTTAGGTGCGACGTGATTTTTGAGAGAGATAGCCTTGCTCGTGCATGTGTCAACAAAGATTTTCAGATTTTCGGGTGACCGTAAATTATATCGTGCAAGTGTGATCACAAGAGTTGATTCGAACGAATACAGAGTGAGTACATCCGATGTTGATTAATTTTATCTTATTTATGGTAATGATTATTTAAAGTAGTTGACAATACGTTTAGAGTAACTGAACTTGTAAATGCAGGTCTTTTTTTTGGATTATGGAAATATGGAGAAAGTGCTAGTTGAAGATATGTATGAACTGAATGATGAATATCTGTTGACGACACCACCGCAGGCTGTATTCGTAGAACTGGATGGTGTTAGTCGATCGGAACTGTCCAGAGAACAGTTCGTTACCTATTTCATCAATCGTACCGTCGGCATTAGATTGTGTTAGTTGGTTTTATGATTGCGTTAGAAACTTAGTTTCGTTAAGTTTAATAGAAACATTTCATTAATTACAGAATCTTTTCACACTTGTTGGGCATCATCCTGTGTGATTATGTGCACCATGGCTCTGTTGTGTGTATTGATCGCGTTCATTTATATATACCATCGGTCAACTGCGTTTCCTCATCTTGCTGTTCATTTACAATTTCCTCGATTATTAGTTTCCTTCTCCCAATTATCGTCTTCTGTTACAGTCGTAACAAAGACCTCAATAATCATCATCCTTATCATTTTCTCCAACTAATCTTCACTGTTCTTCATCACATTAAAGTAGAATGCTAGTAAAGTAAATAGTAATAAACAGACCGAAATAAAACGCGGAAAGTGCGGAACACCGTATGTAGGGAATAGTGAAGGGTAGGTTATTTGGATGAGCACAAGATACAAGATAGGCGTCGTGTCTAGTGATCTTTTGAGTGAGTCCACTATTCACTACGAAGATTTATTTTGATTTACACACACCAAATCTACAGCAAACAGCAACCGAATCGAAACTAAATGAGTCGAAGAGTAAACAACAACGAATGATTAATCAACAACGAACGATTAAATCGAAGGCGAGCAATATCCTTTTATCGCAAATTTAGCGTAACGAATGAATGCAGCGAAGGCACGTCACGTGATGTCTAGACTCCACAATACAAAATTTTCAATATATTCATGAAGAAGACAAAGCTTAAGAAGCGTCTGGATGGTACAAGAGGGAGCTTATTCATAAGATGTCTACGTTACTCAATACAAAATTTTCAATACATTTTTGAAGAAGATAAAACATCTGGCCAGCACGAGGAGAGCTNATTCATAAAAATTATTATGAATGATATCATCTTCATCGTGAATAACGAGATTCACGACACCGTGGGACGTTTCGACGTTATAACGCGATCATCAGCTACTATGTTGACTGAGCAAGGGTATCGAACAACTGGAGCGGATACGATTTATAACGAGTTAGGTGGACAACGAGAACAGGAAGCTGGAGGATTGATGTTGTTTGGATTAAGATAAGAGTAGAATTATAATTATGATTGTGAATTATGATGTTTGGAATGAAATTATGGTAATAAATAAGGTACAGAATTGTGACAGTAGTAATGATGATAACGAATGCAGAATACAGACATTCCGTAGTGTGTCATTTACGTTGTGTACTCCTTAATGCGCATTTAGTTCGTAAAATGCTTAACGAACTTGAGGACTTTACTATTCATAATCTTAATATTGCTTGTGTGACCGGAACATGGACGAACACGATTAACTGCTTCAATATAGAAATTCCTCTAAAAAATAACCAACCTTTGTATGATATATAACATTGTATATAATCATGCTGATCTCACCTTTTATGAATTTTTTACGTATTTGAGTAAAATTTTTCAAAATCGTTATCGCAATGAAGGTAAAATGGCTATTAACAAATGCAACCTGAATAAGTTCACTTATTTCTTACTTAACAGAGTGTTAAATGCATAGAACTGTTTGCTACAACGTATCATAAATGCCCCATCTCTAAGTGCATTCGAAAAATTGTCACTAAATCTCTAACCACATTCTGATAGTTTTATCTCCCTCATGAAAGAGTGATACTTCCTCTAAAAAATAACCAACCTTTATATGCTATCATCCATTAATTTGAATTAGTTATTTGGTTTCTTTAATGTTATGTTTCTATTACTTTACGTTCTTTATTTATTTTCTTTATATCTTTGAGATTTCCTTCGATTTCATTCGTTATAAATAACAAAACGTAACGTTTTATTCTTGATCCTGCTACCTACTGTTGTCATCGTTATCTTATTGTGGTCAATATCATAAGTTTATTCTTGGTGTAATTATAATGCATCGTTTAATACGTTATATTTTACTTGCTGTACACAACACAAAAATTTTACCGGGATCATTGATTATTTATAGTACAGGCTGCGTTTCTTTTTGATACGCTTTTTCTTCCCTTTTTCCATGTCGTCCCTAACTGTCGTTGGGGTAGGATTTTCGTTACCACATTCGTCCTTTATGTCGGATAGTAATTTCGTCCTTTCATGTAGTGTTGTGCGGGGACAGGGAGAATCGGGGATATTTCGGGGACGGGCACTCGAAAATGTCGGAATGGGGAGTTTCGGGATTGAAGACTCAATCTCATCACCGTCCCCGACTTCCTGAAATTCT